CATTTGAATGGATGTCCCATCAGTGGCATTTACACATGGGTTGATGCAGTTCTTCATTGGGATGCTAGAGGAGGCAAGTGGGGGAGGGGATTCTTGCTTGCAAACCCTCCTGCAGGTAGGACAGTATCGAGCGGAGGCGTAGCAGGGGGACTGCCAGGGCATTTGTCACCCATCCCCTCGCGGAGGCACTGGGCAGCTCGGCCCAGTCTGTCTCGGTTGTAATTCCGATGTATTTTTTTTAAATGTAGATTTGTTTTCCTCCTCCTAAGTATTTCCAATACAGATCTGTACAGAGAACAAAACTATATCTATATTTTCAGTTGCCGCTTTTGTACATCCAAAACTCCAAAGACCTCCCTGTGTCTATCTCCTGAGGACTAAATGAAGGTTGTGTTGTCCCCGCCGCAGCGCCTTGGCGGGGACAGCGCATTGCCTGTTGCACAATTTATTTATGTATTTAAATGTATACCTTAGTTTGTAGCCTTTGCAGCATCACAGCTGCTGCTTCGAGTGTCCTGCGTAACCAAGGTCTCGCTAAACTACCCCAAGTACCTACTGCCGAGTTCGTATTTTTATTACTGTAGCAAGATTGGCACATGAGTTCGATGCATCAAGACTGTCAAAACGGCATTCAGAATGGTATAATATGTAGCAATTTTTTGCACCTTTTTTCCCCCCCCAAGTGTCCCCATCAAGAACTTTAAAACCAACCAATTTCCCTGTGGTCTGGGGTAGCTGTGCCCAGAATCCTGCTGTGACTTCAATGGTTCTTGTATCATAGTTATAGTGAATTTCTGAATGCAATAAAAGTTGTAAATCCTGAGGAATAGTTAAGGTGCAGTTTTACCTTGCATTCTTCGCCCAGGCTTAGTTGTGCTAAACATTTCCCCTCTGTTTTGGAGAGGGACAAGTCCACTGACGCTCTTCATTTAAAGAGCGGTCGGCTGGAAAATGATGAACCAACTACTAGTCTCCTTCAAAATACCAGCCCTCAGAACTAGCTTGCTTGGTACTTTTCACCTGAAAATCTCCCAAGTGACAGACGTAGCTCTCTGTAAAACAAGAATTCTCCTTCCCCACTTGTGTGAACTGCTTTGAAATCCTTGGTGGAGAAGTGCTAGGTAGAGGATTCGCTTTTTGGAAAAATGGTGCTTTGAGAGATTACTGGACTTTTGCAAACCCCTTTCTCTCTGCTCATCTTCCCAGCACCAAGCTGAAAAGGGACTTAGGACCAGAACAAATGTACTGTGTACATTTCAGTGGGAACATAATTGTTTGTGGGTTTTTAAAGTTCTGCTGTTGGGGGGAGGGGGGATGGACAGACCAGCTCCCAGTAAAGGCAGATTTCTATACACATTTTTAACCCTACCCATCTGTCTTTTGTACTGTCTCCTCCAGGGCCAGTCACAGGCCGATCAACTCACGTGACAATACAGTGGCTCCACTGTACCCTTTGAGAGGCAGGTACTTTCAGTGTTACGTACAGGGGGTGGTTGAGGTAGCTAGACGCCGAGGAGACAGACATTAAGGTATTACGCCTTTACGGGGAGCGCTGGCTGTTTTCAAGTTTTGTACATACAAGTTGTTTGTGTAGAGGATGTGTGGGGGGGTTGGGGGGTAAAGGAGCATCTTGGGGTTTTGATACTGTCTGAAATCCCTTAGTGTTTTATAAGCTTTCTCACACGGTAAACATTATCTAGACACCTTTAAAAAGCAGCTAGCCACTTTCTCTGGTTTATTTATTCTGTCCGTTTGATATCCAGCTGTTTATTATTTGCGACACTTTGTATTATATGCAAACTACCTTTTAGATAATAAAGTTCAAAACAGCCCCCCACTGTGCCGGTGTCAGTTACTGGTGGAGCAGAAGCCTCTGTTCAAGCTGGATTTGAGCAGCTGGGACCTGGAGAGAAGGGTGCGTTAGTCCCATTTTCCACAAGGGGAAACTGAGGCAGAACCATGAAGTAGTCCGTGGAAGGTGGAATTGGAACAGAAGTTCCTAGCTTGCAGTCCTGAGCTCAAACCACTGACACACGCTGTCTCTTCAGTGCACCCTTTGGCTAAGCAAGACGCTTGGATGGCTAGGGCAGGGGCGGTTATTCTAATGTTACTTGACGTGTCTCTCCACACTCTGGCTTCCAAGACCGTGAACGCCTCCCCCCTGTCCTAGACAGCCGGGGTTTGGGCTTAATGCTGGCACTCCCACCTAGTCCATTCAGGACTTGCCTTCCCTTCCTGTCCGTCGCTTCCTTCATAGGAGGGAGGGCCAGAGAGTGACCCCACTCCCCATCTTCCCTTCCTGCTAGGGCTTGGAGCGGTGAGAAGGAACTTCATTCTTGGCAGGCCTCGGCAGCCGTGCTTGGTAAAACCAGGTCTGAGGACAGGAGGTGGTGACAGAGCCGACCTCCTTCACCGGCCACTCCGCTTCCCAGCTGTCTGCCCTGCAGGGAGGCCGGGGCCTGGGATTTCGCTGCTCACTTGTCTCGCACGGCTAAGGTGTCTAGCCAGAGCTGAAGGGCAAACCTGGTCCCGGTGCTGACCCGTTCCACATCTTCCCCCGCTGCAGGTGCTGTGTTCAGGAAGGTGGCGGTAGGAAGTTCTGTGGGCCGGGCCGAGCCCCCACTCAGCTCCGTGGCTCTGGGTAGATGGGAATGGATGTTACTCAGAGGGGTGGCGGCTCAGTCACGCCGAGGGGGGAGGGAGAACACTGAGCAGGCCTGAGGCACGGAATGCCCCGGAATGGCCAGCGAGGGTTCGGCACTGTATGGGCACCTGATCCACCCCGAGCAATGCTCCCCCTAGAGCAGTGGGGAAGGCAGGCTGCAGCTTCCTCCACCCCCCTTCCCCCCAGGCTTTAATTGAAGGCAAGGCTCTAGTGTGAGTTACATACAGGGCAGCTCCCACACCCCCCTCCATGATTGCACTGGAGCCAGGGCCCCTGCCCCTGCTGGGGGCGGTACCTGGGACCCATAAAGCCCACCCCCTGCTTGTCCCCACCCAGCAGGGCAGGTGCTGACGGCAGTAGGAGCTGTGGCTCCCTGGCCTGGGGGACCATCTGGCCCTGGGTGAACAGATGAGAGAAGCCAAGGGGAAGTTTTGGGGCGTGGGACACGCCTCCCTCAGCAGCGGTCCAGCACAGGGGCAGAAGAGCTGCTGGTGTTCAGAGACACCCAGTAAAGAGCATTTCCACCCAGGCGTGTTAACCCCGTGTCCAGCGGCCAAATCCCAACCTAGCCACTTCCATTCTGCCCTCCAGAGAGTCATTTCCACTTCCCATTGGGAAGCTGCAATGCTCCTCCCCAGACCTGGCTGCATTTCAGAGGCAGGGGAGCAGAGTCCTGCCTCTCTAAGGGAAGATCATCATTCCCCCCCTTCGTAGAGGAAAACAGGCCAGGCTGGGTTGGCAAATCACTCTCCTTACTTGATGGTTGGGGGGAGGTTGTTGGGCACGTGCCCCGTGTTCTCTGCTCCGTCCTCGACCGCTGCGATACACTCCAGAACGTGGAGTTCCAGCCAGGCGTAGGCGCTCACCTCGCTCTCGTCCGCCTTGATCCTCGTCTGAAATCCAACACGTGGCTCTGAGTGCCGGGAGCAGGGGCTCAGAGCTCTCTGGGGCTTGGAGTCGCCACAGCTGACCACCAATCGGGCAAAGGGCTGGGAGATAGGCCTCTAAGCCAACTTGGAATCACTGTCCAACCTAAGGGGCGGGCGCTGGTCATCTCAGTCCCGTGCCAGCAGAGAAGCCAAGGTCTGAACAGGTGGTGGAGGCTGAATTCCTCGAAGGGTCCCTCACGCCCAGGGCTGAGGCCCAGTGCTTGTGGCGCTGTATGTAGGAAATCTGTACTGCCAGCCACCCCTAAGGCTGGGGTCTGGGGACAGCAAGCCCAGGCAACGGACGTACATCAGGGCACGTAAGAACAATTCTCTGCCTAATCTCTCCTGCCCATCTTCTCCCGGGCCGAGCAGTCCCTTCCCTCAGGGGTCGCTAGTCACCCCCAGCAATGCTCCCCTGCAGCTGCCTTAGACCGTCCCCCCCCAACGCTCTCGGGGGCCGCTCACCTGCAGCTGCTGGTGGCTCTCGGTGGAAAGAAGCAACAGGTACGCGACAACATGGTGCCGCCTTGGCAGCCCTCTGCTCAGCATGGGCGGGTACACGGACTGTGCAGACGGAGAACAAGGAGCTAGGAATCGGCAGCCCCGAATGCCCGCCCCAGGGGCAGAAACCGAGGGCTGGATCCTGAATTCCTCAGCCCAAAGGCCTCTAGCAGTGTTGTGAAGCAATGGAAACAGCTGCTCACGCCATCAGGGAAATGCAGCTGCCTCTGGGGTAGGGTGCTGCAGCTGTTTAAACAGCATAACTACATGACCAGTTGGGCAAGAGAGCAGGGCTGACATCCTGACTTTTGGGGAGGAGGGAACAAGTGTCCTAAATGGCTAAGAACGTTTGAGCCCTCAGCTTCCTTCTCCAGCAATACCCATCAGACCGGCCATGCTGGGTCAGGTCAATGGTCCATCTAGCCCAGTGGTCAGGGCCAGGTGCTTCACGGGGAATGAACTGAACTGGGCCATTAGTGAGCGATCCAGTCCCGGCTTGTGGCAGTCAGAGGTTTAGGGACACGCAGAGGATGGGGCTGTGTCCCTGGCCACACTGGCTAGTAATAGCCATCGACGGGGGACTTATCTCACTCTCTTGAACCCAGCAATCCCTCCTCCCAACCCCTGGGACGGGGTGGCTCAGTGGAAGCCACTGCAGGGAGTGCTGGTGATTCAGTAGGGGGCGCTCATCCCCAATCCCTTTCGTTGCAGCAGGTTACGGCTGCGTCTGCAGCTGGCGCTAGGGGAGGGTGGGAAGCTATCGCCCCCTAGTGGCTGGTCCGCAGGAGAGGCTTGAGTCTCTGCTGCTGGTTCCCGGACATGGTCCCTCAACCCCCCCAGGAGAGGCTCGTGCTTTGAGCAGGGACGATCCCAGATTGGCGCCTCTCCGGAACCTGGCGCGGGCCGAGCGGTTCCCCGTGACCCAGGGCAGGAGAGTGGGAAGTTACCTCCCACAGGCCCAGCATCCTCCAGGAGAACCCGCCCGGCTCCAGCCGCAAGCCTGTCTCCTCCTGCAGCTCCCGCAGGCCCGCCTCCAGCAACTACGGTCAAGGGACAGTG